CACTAGTGGTTTATTTTCTGACTCATGAGTAATGACTATAACTATATGACTATAACTAATATTCCCTCGAATTTAATTTGTTACCTATAAACTCAGTAATCAAGAAAAGCGTAATGTTCATGGATGATTTACATATAAAAATTATCCTATGGATATTGCATTTATCATAATAGTAAAACTCTTTGGTCTCTAGAAGAGATTCATTCTTCAGAATTTCACAATATGCATACCCAGTATATATACCTACCTAATTTTGACGTTGTCAAGCAAGCTGAAAGGTTGTTGTCTATACTCTATAGCAATACATCTAATAAACAAGCTGGATTGTCATTCTTTGACTGAAAAGTAAAAATTAGTGATAATATATACTAATAGCCTGCAGACTATGGAATAGGATGAAGGAGAAGTTCATGATATACCGCTGGATATATTAGAATCTAGAAAAATGATCATATGTTTTTCATGCATCAATATGTGGATATCAAGAAACTAAGAACAGCAGGCGGTAAAGTGCACTTTACGGCCCGTGGGCCATAATGAGCCCGCGGGCGGTAAAGTGCAACTTAACGCCCGCAAAACCAGGCGGTTAAGTGCACTTTACGGCCCGCTAGTGCATAAATACCTATTTTCCATTACCACTCACATTTTCCAATCATGATAGTGCCGTCAAACAAATACCTATTTTCCATTACCCACTCACATTTTCCAATCATGATAGTGCCGTCAAACTAAAGAATGGTGAAATGACTCTTTCATCTCTTCTCAATATCTAGTCGTCATGACAGTAGAAATGACGGTCATTCTTGGTTGAGTTCTCCTCCTTCAGCCCTAGAAGTGCCTTATTAACTATCTGATATTATCTGATTCTCAGTGATGATCATGGATTTGATCATTGATGAAGTCTAGCGACTCTCTTCTGTGCCTTCGAACTCTGATCAAACCGAAAATTCAGTCAGATCAACGTAACATTGTGTTAACATGAAGGATACTTTGAAGTTCCTTCAAGATGATAAAAAGTTGCCTCAGAGATAGAGCTGCATTTGACTGTACCAACCAGTAAAAGTTCCTGAGATTATATTGTGTTGTGAATAAAAGGAAGTTAAACTATAAAAGAATCGCAGGTTGTTAGTTTTATGGAACATTCCAATTCTCCTTTCATAAAAACATTATTGTATTCTTTGTAGATGATAGGTACCAAAGGAAATCCGAATGCCAGCAGGATGCATCAGAAACTGAAAGAGAATGATTTATTCTGCAAATCGTAAAACTACAATTGCGCCAACATTGAATAAGACATTGTCATGGCTTGACAAAAAAGTATTCTTCATTTCTAAGTTACTTCTAGAGTAAAGTTATTATTTGTGTATTGTACTGTATCTTATTCGAGTTCCATTTTACTAATAACTAATATACTTACGCTGTTACTAAGAGTTTTTATACAGTGTGACACATTTATGATGAGGACACCCCTGTATTTTAGTCATTTTTAAAAACAGTGATTTGATTCTTGGTACAGACGAAGACTTCCATGGGCCGCACTTCTTGTAATACTCAACCCGAGTGACAGCATTAAACCTAGCCTACTGCGATCCCGCCAACAGGGCAAATTCTCGATATCCTGCTTCGCCATGGAAATTTTAACCCTAAATTCCAAAATGCAAAATTTGATTTGATTTCTTTCAATTTTGATGTTGCGATTGTCGATTGATATGGTTATGAATATAAAGCTACAAGAATGATAAATTTCTGGTGTTCAGTTGGCGGGAATTCGGTCGGAATGTTGAAGAAAACCAATTTTTTAATTGTCGACGTTTCGAAACTTTATTGTTTCATCTTCAGGACACTGAAGTAAAAACAAGAACATACACATTAAAATGATATTTCAAAATGACGGGTTTTGATAAAAGCAATATAAGTTATGTAAAATAACAATCGTTGAAAATAAAACACTTCTCACACTTTACAGAAAACAATATTGATAGGTACTTATATTTAGGGAGGCTTCCCGGGTTTAAAAATAGTGAAATAAATAAAATCGACATAAAGTAATGAACAAACTGAACTGTATTTGAATCGTTTCTTTATATTGCAAAAAAGGCTCGTGAAAGAAATAATAATCGGGATTGGAAAAAGTCGCCTGCTGATGATTCGGAATTATTGTTTGATTTTTTCTATTAAATTGAAATATGAGGTGTGTAAATTCTCAATATCCGATCTTTTGTTAACAAATATTGTTCCATGTTTTGTTATTTCAATCATTTCATTCAAGAATCTTTTTTTCGATATTGATATAATTTCAGAATCAATGGAATGAACGTTTGAAATGATTGAAATTGAAAATTATCATTTTATCAAATGTAAGTTGTTCGAATTAACCCTCCTTTACTAGCCTATTTCTCGAAATTCAAAATTCGAATTAAGCTTTGAAATTAAGTATGTATCATGTATGTATGGTCGAAATTCATTTCTCAGCAACTTTTCCTTGTACCCTTTTTTGGTATCTCCACCGCGAAGCTAAATATCGAGAATTTGCCCATTTTGCCAATTTGTCACCCGAGCTGAGTATTGCGAGAGGTTCTGCCTATGAAAGTCTACGACTGTACCAAAAATAAAATCTTAGAAATGACTGAAATACAGGGGCCCTGAGTGTGTCATGCTGTATATACAGTGTCTAGTTTGTGATGGTTCGAGGTATAGATACTATTGTTTTTCAGCAGATCTGTTCAAATGTACTCTGCAGTCGAATTGATTTTGACAATAATTCCCAGAATGATTCAAGAGATATTCTTTCCTTGTCTGCATTTATAATAATATAAGCATTATTTCAATCTACCCGTAGTAGCCCCAAAACGTCACTGCATTCAAATTTTCACTATTAGAAACTAGCGGGAAATTCAATCGAGAGGCCATGCATGCTATCTAGTTTTTAAAAAAATACAAGTGCATTGAAAAAATATAAAATTCCACTCAGCATTGGATATTTTGGGATAGAGTCTTCTCTACTATCTGCTTAGAATCTTCGATTTCTTTTGTTTATAACCATCCCAGCGAGCACAAAAACATCTCAGAGATGTTAAAAGTACGAGATTTCGAGACATTGAACCTCCACTGCGATTCACACATGAATAGAACTATTATAGAACAGCCATTGTCCGCCGCAGGCGGCAATTATCGAGATGTCCTTGATATGTCACAAAACTACCTTCTCCCTAGTTCTTTTTAAAGCCTTTTCATGGACACAACAAAACATTTTCAACGCGTCTTGCGCACATTGAATCGCTGTAAAAAACCATTTTCGAGGTACTTTTCTGCAGCCCTTTGTCAAAATGAACTTTTGCATTAGGATTCCATTTCCCTTGAATGATAAAATGCATTAAAAATAGATTGAACATAAAAATATTTTCTTGATATGAAATAACCTTCTTAATCGGTTTCTGAGTAGTGCTTACTACACACAGACACATATACGTATTCATAATCAATACGCGGATAATCTCTATCTGTTTCCATAGCGAAACATGAAGCCGATTTTTGAAGACAAATGACTATCCATAAGGAAAAGTTTTGAAACGATCAGACACATACTGCTTTGATTGAAAGGCTAGTAAACGTCATTGTCCACCGAAACGCATGTCTTTGACGACTACTATAATAGCGCATGCCACCAAATCTTTATGGATATTCATTTGTTTCATATTTTTGGCTTCATCCTGGCACCCGTTATGATCCGTATTGTTTATCAATACGTATATGCACAGACATATAATTGGAAATAGGTTTCCCAATTTTTGAAGTGTTCTCCACAATGCATAATTTTGCAACTGCGGAGAAGCTGCGTATTGATAAATTCGTACTTTTATATAATGATTACACTGAGGCACCGAACAACACATCTTGCATCTGATGGTCATTATTACAAACTAAATAAGTCTTCTAACACAATAAACTTCACTTAGCAGCGTGATGTAAGCGTGACACGCTGCAAACGCGAATGTCAATTGCGAACAAGAAGAACAAAATCGAAAACAAATCAGAATTCATCGCAATGTGCCGTAAGCATGAGACGTTGTGGTGGGGCAAACAAAGAAAGGCACAAAAGAACAAAAACAATACTTACTAAGACCTCTTTGGGAAGTGCATATTACGCCTCAAAAAACATCCTCATGCCTACATTTCTAAAACATCCCAGGGATACCTCTCAGTAGACAAACAAAGAAATGCCACAGAAGAACAAAAACAATACTTCAATATCCTTCAAAGACCTCTTTGGTCAGTGCATATTACGTCTCAAAATAACATCTTCATGCCAACATTTTCAAAACATCCCAGGGATGTTTGTGCTCGCTGGGATCAGATTTTCGCTCCAAAGAAGTTATCAATCTTTTGTAACTACCCATTTCACTTTCATCATGAACCCGGGTGACACGTTATAGAGTACCTATATGAAGTATCGCTGGCAGGATGGTACTATACAGTCTCCATTTTTTCCCGTTCGTCCTCTGGCATTCATATAGTGCATAATTTCGAGTGACTTCGGGAATTGGAAGGATTCTGCCGCCTGCTGTGTGATAAGAACTCGACCTTCCTGCCGATTGATCAACATTATGTCCCGTTAGCTCAATTGGCAGAGGATTGGGGCATCTAACCCAGAGGTTGTGAGTTCGACTCTCACGCGGGGCGGTAGAATTTTTTCGTTTTCCGTTGTCACTCTAAATTAGGGCTTTTTATCATCATCATTATTATTTTCGTCTTTTCGGTCGAGTAACCGACAAAAATTATCACTCACTCCTATAACTTGATCTGTCTGAAGCATAATAACAAAATAACATTCGATTTTCTCTTTCTCCGATAAAAATGATCCGGACTACGGAGGTGTTCAATGATAATACAGGATCAATTCACTTCTTTATGAGTTCTACTTTGCTAGTTGGACTCGTTGAAGAGACTTGTAGTGCCTCTTTAATTATCTTGAAGAAAAGTTCTGTTCGATTCCTTTTCAGTCATGCTCATTTTGGCGTCACAAAGGCAGTTCCTACAGTCGTTTCTCGGTGTGGAAGAGGGTCAAGAAGTATCGACCCAGCGTGGTGCGACTCCTTCCTTCGTAGAGTGGATCATTCTTTCATATGTGAGCGGTAAGTGGGTATATCGTACGAAGGCGTAGAAAGGTCATCAACTATTTTTTATTCGAATTCCGAGTTGTGAGTCGAAATTCCAATTTGTAACTGTGTTTCACCTTCGTTTAGTCATATTTGTTAATTTGAGTTTGCCACGTAAAATCATGTTCTGATGTTTTTTACGCCATATGCCTCCAAAAGTAGGATGTGCAGAATATGCACCGAAAACCCCCGCTAAAGAGCCATAGTTCAACAATCGTTTGAACGGGGTTGTTCATAGAAGTGGCGATTTACCCTTCTTTCTTGGGTCTCAATAGTTGATTCAATATGAACAATAATCGAGCACTCAGTGTGTGTGAAATTGCTCCGCAATTCTTCCTATTGGTAATTAGACTACTCTGATTCCTGGTATTTGCCGAAAGAAGGTGAAATTGGAATACCTACGCCGGAAGCTGGAGAGAAGGAAGCGGACAGTTATAGAAGGTTGGTGGTGTGGAAACGGATGTACATAATCTTGTTTTATTGTTTAATTCGATTGAATACAGCCACAAATTCGAACAAACTTCGTTACTGCAACAAACTCGGAATTCCGAGTTGTCTGACTTCGTTAAATTCCAACTTGTAACTCGAAGTTCCGACTTGTAACTCGGATTTTCGACTTGTAACTCGGAATTCCGAGTTGCAGTACGAAATTCCGAGTTGTTACTCAAAATTCTGACTTGTAACTCGGAATTTCGAGTTGTAACTCAGAATTCCAATTTTTTTCTGAATAGAATACATTTACGATGACAACAGAGAATCAAATATTACACGCGAACATGTTGATAGTCATCTTGTCGGAATAATCCAACTGTGATATTGGAAACAATATCATCTGCGATTTTGTTCAAGATGGATATTCAGAATGATATTCTCTGATTTCAGAGTTTCAACTCGGAATTGAGAGTTACAAGTCGAAACTCGGAATTGGAATTAAAATAAGATGAAGGCCTCTCTACGCCTTGCTAAATCGGTTGATTTTTCCTATACTGTGTGTAGTCAAATGGATGGAAATTTATGAGCAGAATTGATATGATTCACAACGAGAATAATTCCAACAGTTTTATTACTTGGGGTACCCAAATAAAGGGTGTTCTAGAATTGTAGTGGCAAAACCCAGGCGAAGTTATAAAGAAAAGTTGACAAGAACATGGGTTCTGAAATGCTTCGCTTTCTCTTTCATCCAGAATTCTCCAGCTAGCATGTCGGATGCTTTTTTTGTAGGATTCACGTGCAAATTTTAATAAGTGCTCTTTATCAGATTTCAATGATGAACCCACTATGCGATGAATTTATGGATAATTCCTGATCATTCTTATGAAATTGAAATCGACTGCAGATTTCAGTTCTCATCGAATAATTGGTGTTCCATTTGGAATAACGAAAATGAAAATAGATGTTGAACAAATTCAACTCCAGCATAAATATTCAATGTTCTTGCGGAATGAAGGGGTCATTGTGGAATTTTCGACAGATTCCATCCGAATGATAGAATATTCGTATTCTTAAAAAAGTCAAAAACGGTTTTCATGAAAGAGGCTGTATATTCCAACACATCCTCAAAATGGAATAACATCTCTATTCGACGAGATCATTCATAATCGTTGTGTTGAATTTCTATACAATCAGGCTGCTGAAACTTTTCCTAGTTTTCCTGTATACAGATTCAAGTTGTTTTCACAGGGTTGATATGGAGTGAGATAAAACAGCTGTGGGACGTGGGACTAGAAGAGTATGTCCGCGACATGTGGAATGTCATAGATTTTATCACGAATTCGTTATACGTAGCCACCGTAGCCTTAAGGATTGTTTCTATATATCAGGTGAGTCAATTTTAGGATATAGACAACCCACATCCACCTGCAGAACGCCGGCCAGCAATAGTGATTTACACACCAAGGTAGTAATGAATATCATTATCGCCCAGGGAGCAAGATTATATCCCGAAGCTCCTGCCGAGGGGTATAAGGTCCCGTGGTAATGACATTCTTCACTACCAAGGTGTATATTGATTTTGTTTTTACCACAGGCGATATATTTCAATCATTATCGTTCTGTGAAACTAGAATATTGACCTATTGTCACTATGAATGCACTTATGACAGCATAATGTCAAGTCGTTATTGATAAATACCATCTCTGCGGATATCGCATTAGAACAGTGAATTTGGAGGTGTTACTATGGTAGTTGAAACACACTTTCTCTGCGACTATCGTATTCTACATTGATTACATATTGGTTAGTAATTGATGAATGAAGATGATTCCAAGACACCGTGGATCCTAACTCATTATTCAACGGCACTCGACCAATCACAGATTCAGAATTTTCAGGATCCACAGCAACTGAAAAAGTTAGACTAATGACAAAACAGCAAATCTACCAAACAAATTTCTCAAAAAGGCTTTGCTTCATTTTACGGGTCACGTCACGGCTTGACTTTCGCGAATGTCAGATTAACTTATAGTTTCTTATAAGTTTTAACTTTGATATCAGCTTTCACGATCAAAATATAAAATGAATAATTGTGATTGGGGAAGCAGTGATAGTGACAATAATGAGATCTGTACACCACCGGATTTATTGGAAACAGCGAAAACAGCAACTCTGAACTTATTGATGCCGGAAAAATCAAAAAAACAATATTCGAAGGCATACGCGGAGTTCATGGATTGGCGAAACTTGAACCAGGCCCATTCATTCTCGGAAAATGTTCTTGCATATTTTACGGAACTGTCAGAAAAATACAAGTCATCATCGTTGTGGAAGATATATATTCAATGTTGAGAAGCACACTCAATGTAAAAAACAATATCAACATAAAGAGGTACGTACTCAAAATTGCGAGCATTGGTGAAACAAAAATCTGAAGGTTATCAGCCGAAAAAGTCGAAAGCATTCGCCCCAGAAGAAGTAAATAGATTTATTAATGAAGCTCCTGATAAAATCTCTCTTGCAGCAAAGGTATGTCAAAATTGTCACACAATAGTTACCTGAAAGTTCTACGATATCTCAGTTTTTGGTCTGGAAGATTTGTAAAAAGTACATTGATATACGCGCAGCAAATGTTGGGATTCCCCATTTTTTCATGAATTACTAAAAAGGGAAATGTATTATTCAGAAAATTGGAATTAATAAGTCTGCAGCAATGTGAATACAAATAGCTTCATTTTTGAAGCAACCAAATCCCGTGATGAACACTAAGCATTGCTTCCGACGATCATCTGCAACTTTGCTTGTTGATGCAGGTGGAGATATAACAGCATTGAAAGGACATGGTGGCTGGAAGAGCACATCGGTGGCAGAAGGATATCTAGAAGCTTCCATGTTGAATAAGAAAAAACGGCAGATTCGATTTTTCAATCAATCGAACAATGTTCATCATCATCAAATAACAGTACCTTCACACAAAAAACATCAACTAGCAATATGAATAAAAATGTCAGTGTTGATTTACATGCAACACCGACATTAAATTTCACGAATTGTGATAATATTACTATAAATTTAGTCACTAAGTACGACAAGTGAGAAACATAATTTACTGACCTAATAATTATTGTGTTGTTTCATCATTGAGTTCGTTGAATATTAAAGATTTCTGTTAATTGTATTATTATATTATTGAAATGAATGCATCAAGTATTTAATTTTCATAAATAATATTTAGCTTACATTAAATTTCTGACTATCGTATAGTCGTAGGGAAAGTATAGTCTTCTACTCGCGTATAATAGCTATTATTCTCTCGGATAATTCCGAAACTCGCCTACGGCTCGTTTCGGAATCATATCCTTAGGAATAATAGCTATCATTATACGCTCGTTGAAGAATATACTATTACGCCTCAAAAAGGAGTAAATAATGGTAGGTTCTACAGCTAGTGGTGAAAAAAAATTTTATCCTGGGAACCCGATACGGTAGAGAAGCATTGAAATTACATTGTAATCAAACCATTGATATTGAACAGACTCTCAATAGTTTTGTATCAATCAATATATCTAAATGACCAGTTGAATCGCATGGCAACTAATAAAACAAGATACCAACACCAATCACAACAAGCTACTTTGATAGGAAGCGTATTCAGACAAGAATTGAGAAAAGAACTTGCAATCCAAGGACATGCCTTTCTACTCTGCCCTCCGCTTCAGATTTCACTGCAACATCTCTTCCTTCCCTCTTCCCGGTCTCCGTTCTGCTCAAGTGATATTCTTCGAAATATCGAATGCATAACCTATAGACGAAACAATCTTATGAGTGGATTTCAACAGCAACAAGATCATCGCCGATCACGTCAACTCAAGATAGTGAAACTATCAGTTAATTTCTAATAAAATCTATCTGCGCCGACATAATATATTATCACCTACTAGGACAGTAGAGTACAAATTCAGTTGTAGGCCAGGTTTTTCTGATGGCCTAAGAAAGTGTTTGGGATCACACGTTAGAAGGCAGGTTGCTAGCACTAGTCTCTGGATCGCTCGTAAGAGGGCAACCGGATGACGAATAAGAACAATTTCGGAACAACAATTCAGTTAAGCAAGTCGAAATATGGAAGAAAAAGTTACCACAACTCTCTGTAGTGCAACATACGAAAGCGCTGAACGGACATGATACTTTTTTTTTATAATTGCCAGTTTGAACTGGCATTTAGCTATAATTGCCAGTTTGAACTGGCAATTAGCCATAATTGCCAGTTTGATCTGGCAATTAGCCATAATTGACAGTTTGAACTGGCAATTAGCCATAATTGCCAGATCGATCTGGAAATTAGCCATAATTGCCACATGGGTGGAGCAGGAGATCCCTATCTCCACCCTAAGAGTGAAGAACGCCCAAAATAGGCTGAGATGGAATAGAAGGTTCACCCTCACTATTCCAAGCAGGGAACAATGGGAAGAGAACAGATTGGAATTCCACCCGGGGAGTCTAGTATGTTATACGGACGGATCGCGCCTAACTGACAAACAGGACTCAGGCGCAGGAATTTACCTAGAAGGATTAGGCATAAGGGAGAGCTACGCTCTTGGAAAGTATACCACAGTTTTCCAGGCCGAGGTCTTTGCCATTCTGGCAGTAGCGGAGAGGCATGAGGTGAAAGAGGGACCAGAGCAGAAGATTTACATCTGCTCGGATAGTCAGGCGGCTCTCAGGGCTGTCTGCCATCCTAAACCAAGCTCAGCCTTGGTGCAGGAATGTGGCGATGCTCTTGAGAAACTAGCCGAACAGAAGGAAGTCGAACTAGTATGGGTTCCGGGGCACAGGGGGGTGCCCGGGAACGAGGTGGCCGACGAGCTGGCTAGAATCGGATCCGCGACACCGTTCTGGGGGCCGGAGCCTGCACTGGGCATAACAAGAAGCCAAACTTCGTCTGCCCTTAACAAATGGGCGGACGAGGCACTAGAAGTATATTGGAGGCGTATAGGCGGCTGCAGGCAATCGAGAGACCTGGTGGCCGGTCCAAGCAAGCCAAGGACGGCTTGGCTGCTGGGCAGGGATCGCCAAGTCCTGCGCCTTCTTATAGGGATACTGACAGGGCATAACAGGTTACGCAGACACCTATCACTCATAGGTGTGGAAGATAGTCCCACTTGCCGTGAATGCGGAGAAGATGAGGAGACATCACTTCACTTCCTCGGAGAGTGTGAGGCGTATGGAAGGATGAGATTCGAAATCTTTGGAGTAGATAAACTACAACAGGAAGATTTGGTCGAATTAGAGTGGACGGACATCCTGACCTTCATCAGAAGGACGGGAAGGTTCGAAAAGGACAACTAAAAGAGGGATGTGTAGATATGTGGAGAGCAGGGGTTGGCAAAAAGGGCCCATGGGGGCCTACTTGCCTGGCTACAGCCTCCCCACAATACTACTACTACTACTACTTAGCCATAATTGCCAGTTTGAACTGGCATTTAGCTATAATTGCCAGTTTGAACTGGCAATTAGCCATAATTGCCAGTTTTAACTGGCATTTAGCCATAATTGCCAGTTTGAACTGGCATTTAGCTATAATTGCCAGTTTGAACTGGCAATTACCCATAATTGCCAGTTTGAACTGGCATTCAGCGCTGCCGTACGAAAGGATCTAATCATGTTATCGCCATCTAGTGATGGCAAAAAACTAATGCGAACGCGAACGATTATTTCGACCAACGCAAAGGGCGAGTGGACTGATAATGAATTATTGGCATTCAATTACGCCACTGTGTCGTTAGAGACCTATAGTATATTGTTCAACAAGAACGGAATGTTAGTGATTTTCCCCGAGAATGAAATTTGCAGCATGAGCCGTAGGCAAATAATGCTGCAATCTACGGCTGTGACAGATAACAGCGACATTCTTGATTTCTTCGTCTTGTAGCCATCTGATTTCCTCTCAAGTAATGGGCATCTATTAGACAGAGCTGTCATTGCTTGAACTGTGACATTCCATTTGCGGGGTCCTTTCGTACGAAAGCGCTAAATGCCAGTTCAAACTGGCAATTATGGCTAATTGCCAGTTCAAATTGGCAATTATAGCTAAATATCAGTTCAAACTGGCAATTATAGCTAAATGCCAGTTCAAACTGGCAATTATGGCTAAATGCCAGTTCAAACTGGTAATTATTATGGCTAATTGCCAGTTCAAACTGGCAATTATAAAAAAAAGTATTATGTCCGTTCAGCGCTTTCGTAGCAACACCCCTCATAATATGTCGAGTTTCGCATCATCCTGTACACGAGTTTCTCCATAATATTAATTTTCAGAATGAAATTAGAAATAATCTGATTCTTGTTTTATCAATGTGAACCCCTCTTTTCGGATGTGTACAAAACAGATAAAAAGGGGTTCACAATGATAAAACTTGTACATTCGAACAATTGCTAATATTTAAGGGATACCGTTTGTTTCAAACGCTTAACATTTATGGAAATGTCTGTTGTTGGAGTCAGAACATGAAAGTGAGGTGTCCAATTCATCTTAACCCTATATACAGTGGGTTCAGCACGATAAGGATCATGGGGTGAAGTTGAAGATGCTTTCTACAAAACGAAACGCGAAATTGTCTTTCGTTCCCTATGATAGACATCCTTACCTTGGACAGAGTGTATAACTAAAAGTACGTGGTACGTGTTCCACAGGATAGATGAATTGACAATTCCTGATTTCCGAGACAAAAGAGACAAAATTATACAATTACTCTATAGAAGTTTTTTGTTTCATATCCATCTATTTATATTTTGTGATCGATTCAAACGGTTACGTACCTATATCCTTAAATTTTTCACGTGATTATAATTGGCCTGTAGCAGCTGCTGCTTCATTAAGAAAATTCGTCAGGGATATTTTCAAACTCGTTTTCACTGCTACTTTCCATTATTCATCGCACGTTTTGCGACAAAAAGCCATATAAAATTTTCAAAAGGAGAATTTCAACTATTTTATTGTCAAATTGTTATCTATCGTTACTATGGCCGTTCGATATCTGAAGTTAAGCAGTGTCGAGCGCGGTTAGTACTTGGATGGGTGACCATTCGAGGAAACGCCGCGTAAGCCCGTACATCTGTAGCGGAATAGCATACCATAGCTACAGCTACCATATCAATGAGCACAAGATATGGTATGGATATGCCGTCCTTCGGAGGGGACGTTAAGCCGACGGTCCCGAGGCCATGGATGTTGGACTCGTTAAAGATCCCTACCTCCGGTTGGAACACCAGAGGATTCGGCAAAATTTCCATTTGGGGGTATAGTGTGCTCACTGGCGTCGGTGATTAGCCTCAGTAGCAGATAAAGGCCGACGTGAAAGAGGCGAATAAAAAAAAACATGTATTTCCAGGACTATAGCTCAGAAAAATTCTACTTTGTCAAAGGGATTTTGTTATTTCCGGACTGTTACTGAATGAATATTGTAAGTACATAACTCGCTTCGAAATATATCTATAATATTCTCGCATGTTATTATGATCATGATCATATCTAAATTGATACGAATTTATTGCCCTTTTCACCAGTATTTCAGATTGACGTTGTTGAGTGTGATTATTATTGAACCATTATAGCCTGAAAAACCTCATTTACGAATTTGGTGAACGCGAAAATTGTTATTGAAATGGAAATAGGTCCCTACTGAATATTCATTGATGACATACATAACACATATCTCTGATGAAGGATTTTGATTAGCTTTCTATAGAACTTCAAAGCACACAAATTACCCGAATCGCTCAAAGTCATTATACATCCAGGTATTATAATAATAATGATAATATATTTCATCATCCATATGTAGCTAACTAATGATAATGATGATGCAAATTCATACAGTGGGCCTCTGAGAACAAGATTTTTAATAACCAAAAATAGATCTTTCGTAAAATGAAAAATATGAGAGGGGGTTCTATATATCTATATATATATCTGAATTTGAGATTGCAAAGCATCTAAGTATGGATTCCTCTGAAGTACTGCACGTTCTAGCCTTCTCATAGAAACAGGTATTTCTGGATTGGTAGTTCAATCTTAGGAATCTTTTCAGAATGTTCAAAGTTAAAATCGAGAAATCTTGGACAGCATCTATGAACATCTCGATAAATTCAGAGAATATTGTGGAATCATCATTCAACGTATTCCCTTATCTGTTGGATCGCAGGAATTTCAATCCCTATTACATCCGTAGGACATGCAGAGTATACGTGGGGTAGCATGGAAAAGATTTACCGTTCGTTTACCATACATAATTTGATACAGAGAGTTCTTGGGCATATCTCAAAGTGAACGGAAAGGAATGTAAATGTGAAGGTTCCCATCTTTCTTGCGGAGTTTCGAGAATGCGGAATTGAGTTCAGAATCTGGAGATGTCGAACAAATTTCGAGGCATAGATGTATAGAAAGTCAAATGGTGTTATCACTTCTTATTGAAAGAAGTTTCGAAATCTCTCGATATCGCCAACTTTGTAAAATAGCGAATGGGAGAATCTTGCTAAATTTCCGAAGTCAAACCAGTTTTACAGGTATCATGACACATCAATTTGGGTCCACATTCTCATTTTCAATTTTTTTTGTGTAGATGGAAAAGGTGCGTTATATTTTCAACTTTCAGTGGTGGATTCATGAACGACACGAAGTCGTAACTCAAGAAAATCCTGGTGATAATAGTTTATTTACTCAGTTTTGGTACATGAAATGAAAGGAATCTTCGGATTTCCAAATAATCCTCAAATATCGCAGCATGGTCAGTCCCTGATGAAAGCACAAAACAGTCACTCAACTACCTAATATAATATCAATACCTGCTTGATAAACTACTAATGTTCTTATAAATCATCATTTATGAGAAGTAACAATATTTCCATTTGAAATTTGAACAAAATCATGAATAGGCATGGCGAAAACGTGAGAAACTCGTGACAGATATGTCGAATCACGATCAACGCGGATCAAGATCCGCACGGATTATTGGTTGCGCCCCCTGTCTCGTTTGCGTCCTGTCTCTAGGTGCTTCTATTCAGCTATTATTGAATTCTTGCAACTTCAACGGGACCCTTCGGGACCCTAAAGAGAAAAAAAACACATAATTGAAAGTCTAGTTCAACTTAATAATAAGATTAAAAACGCATTTTGAAGTTTTCCAACAAATTGTCCATCGTTCACGCCAACTATCATCGGATATGAGAACCCCACGTTTAGATTGATGGTTTGTAAGATCTATCATCGAATTGGTATTGGATGGCAAAATTCTTATCTCGTTATCAAATCCCGAAATCGAGTACACAGGACAGCACAGGATTGTGCTATTTTTTATCGTTTTACTCAGGGTAGTGATTGGCACAGGTGCCGTTCGATGAACTTCAATGCTTCTACATTTCTTTGGGGCATATATCATTTCGTTATCATATGAAATCGGCAGCCGGCTCTCCTACTCCATATACAGTGTGTCTCACTCCTAATGGAAACACTCTTGTATCCTACGTAATCGTTATCAAATTAGAGGGGGGGCGACTGATGGACAACTCCGGGACACTGTGTGAAACAAAAAATCACCAAACTCTAGGAATGGTTCCCGACATGTTGGCCACTCAGACACACGTGAAAAAGTCTTTCAAAGTCCTCTTCCCGAAGAGAGACGAATGGGCAGGTGGATCAGGATCAGGATCCCAGAGACCGAACACGTAATGTACACAGATGGTTCGAAAACCCCTCTTGAAGTTGGAGCCGGTGTGTTCAGCAGAAAACCGAAGACGGAAATTTCCGTCAATCTCGGCAAATATGCTACAATCTTTCAGGCGGAGGTATTCGCAATTGAATTGTGTGCTAGAGAGTTGTCGAATAAACCTCTAGTAAACAAAAATATCAGTATTGTATCAGCCAGTCAGGCTGCTTTTAAAGCACTGAGCTCCAGCAAGATAAATTCCAAGCTTGTATGGAGCTGTATTGAATCCCTAGAATGCCTGGGTGCTAACAACAGAGTCACTTTGCTGTGGGTGCCTGGACACCAGGGGGTGGAGGGTAACGAGAAAGCCGATATCCTCGCTAAACAGGGAACCGAATCTGTGTTCATAGGACCAGAACCATATTTTGGGGTCACCGCAAGTGCGGCGAAAACAACTATCTCGGGCTGGGCGGAGGGAAAATCACTCACGTACTGGTCTGAATTACCAGGATTAACCCATTCGAAGGTGTTCCTGCCTAAACCGTCGGAAAAAATAACAAGGCAGATCCTAGAATGGAGCAGGGGTAACCTGCGAATTCTGACTGGACTGCTTACGGGACACTGTCGTCTAAGAGACCACCTGGGAAGGATGGGTCTGAACCAACAAACGACAAAAATGAAATTTTCATAACTGAGAATTTTCCAAGGAAAATTCAAATAACTAGTGAATTGAGCATCTTGATTCCGAATCTGAAGTGATTTTCAACCTATTCCGACTCCAAATAACATTTTCCGGAAATCGGGATGGCTCCATGGCTGTTGGCGAGCAGTGTATATCACTTAAGAAGACCACACATGGTCATAGACTGCATTTTTGCTATATCTCTCGCTCCAGCGGATTTCAGGGTACCTACCCAACGAATACGTGAGATACAAGGGTGTTTCCATTATAAGTGAGACACACTGTATGTTGCTTCAGGAAACGAAACACGCGCTCGTGTGGTTTCCAAGCAACGTAATATGTTTCTCAAAATCAAAGGGATTTGTATCTCGATAATCATCAATACACGTTGTATTACATTCGATAACATGAAATATTCCACCGCTATAGAGAGTTTACAATTGTCACAAATGATATCTCTGCTCGCTTAGCTTGAACAGTTCTAAATGATACCATAAATCTAATTACACACATAATACGATAAACAGTGAATAACTTCAGAGAATATAAATCATTTGAAATGGTTTGCTTTCACAGGTTCGACTGAGTCCGGAAGCATCAGAAATTCGAAGAAAAGACTGGGATGCCTGGGATCCAATGCTGATTTCCGAAGGATTGTTTTCAGCAGCAAATATATTTAGGTATTATACAAGGTGTCTCAGAACAACGTACCATCAATTCTCAAGAGTGAAATAGATACCAAAATAGGGCGATGGAAATCAACTTACTTGAGAGGCCGATGAAGAACAATTTTCTTCAATATATTTCGTAATCCTCGAAAGGTACTGCTCTGAAATTCGTAGAGCAATTCACTATACTGAAGGTGCATGGAAAACATGTAGTACCAATTCAACCAATATACAATGAGTTAGGTATTTCTCATTCTCTTCGTTAAAAATTAATGTAACTCTCATAGATGAAAACTGTTTCGGCCTTATATAAGCCAATAAAAAGTATAATAGTTCTAGAAGAATCGGTGTTGACTTAGGAAATAGATACAAGAATTACTTAGTACTTACACGGAAATGAAAAAAAAAGACATAAAAATAGTATAGTTAATAACAGGGCGAACAGAAAAATATGCTCCATGATCTGGAAAACAATGGGTTTAGAAATATTGAGGAACGGAGTGAAGGAACGTGAAAAAACTTACTGTCTCTGTGAAATGATATAAATTCATTATATTATAAATTTGTCGGTTAAGGGTCGGGTCCATATTTTACAAGGGCCCACGTGCCCATGAATTACCAAAAGGTGATAATAATTAAACTTAGAAAAATTGAACTAAAAAGTTGGATGAGGAATAAAAATTAACCTGATAAAGTGAAAGAATCACATGTGCGTGAAAATGAAGGTTATACGAAAATTGACATGACAGACGTCAGAAAATTTCAAATGTCAAGTCAAGCAGATCATGGAACATTAAGTTACATCAAGTAAAGTATTATGATTTCAGCAGTGTTCACAAAATACCAGAGAACAAACAGCAGTGAATAATAGCGGTGAAGTGGCGGTGAATAACAATTATTCACTGGTGTGAAAAATGGCTACCGTTTTGCTAGGGAAGTACATGTATTATGAATAAGTACTCAAATGAGCTAAAAACTTGCCTAACATAATGAAAGTGTGGAGGAGTACCAAAATAAATTTTGTTAAATATCTAGAAAACCAAGAAAAATTATCGACACATTGCAGTTGGAAAAAAATTGAATAATTGATTTTGTCATCCATCGATATATCAAAATGTGGACAGTGCCGAACTCCAAAAAAACTTAAATTGATTTTTCAAAGAGAATGAGAATTACCTAACTCCCTGCATATTTATCGAAATGATAGGACATGTTTTCCATGCACATTCACTCTAGTAAATTTCCCTACGAATTACAGAGCAGTTCAAGGATATCAAAATATTGAAAAAAAAATCTGGAAAAAAATTGTTTTTCTTCGCCCTCTCACGGCTAAAACATGCATTTTCGTATAAAGGTAAGTTGATTTTAATCGGCCTAATTTGATCTCTAGTTCACCTTGTATACAGGTCAGTACAAAATGATACCATAGACTGCTGAGAACAAAGTGAGATGATTGAACCAAACTTACCTGTATACCAATAATATGCTCCGTTTACCCACTTATTGATGATTGATGATTTCATACGAAAATTAAGTAGGAACCTACAAAAATTAAATTATTCTGAAGAGTATGTATCTGGTATGCATCAAATTGAATTTGGTCAATTTACTAGCAAACCAATAGGAATATCAGTTATTTCCAGGAGTGCTGAAAGTAAGGTATTGAATGAGGAAAAAGAAAACAACATTGAGATCTGTGCAGTGCCGTACTCAGGAAAGGTGCTATCAATTGAAATGGTATGGAATGTTTTTTATGCACTATAGTCCTCTTAGTGTCCTACAAAATTTGAGAACGATATCCTTGGACAATATTCAAATAGATGCAAAAATTACAGACCTTCGTTTCGGTTTAGAGGTTAGTGGTTGAATCATCTCACTCTGGTCTCAGGAATATGGTATCATTTTGTACAAATCTCCCAGGGACACTCATATTGGCGTGACAGTTGTTTTTAACAGACTCTGTAGTCTGTATCAATGGATGAAACGGATTATCAAACAAATAAATGCCGAAGGAAAAACGATCTAAATCACATTTTTGGATATCGGAGAAAAATCAATTGGAAAATTATATCTAATAGATGAGATAGAAATAAAGGAATCACCTCATAAATGTATGAATATCCTCAATGAAACATATAACCTTGATAGGAAGGAAAAATAGTTCGGCATAGTGTTTTCGAGTTTGACCACAAATTACAATATTCGTTCAAAAGAAAACTACCTCCAATTATATTCATTTCTGTAAGTAATTCAAATTTCAGATGAATAAGCTCATGAGAACATTTCTTCTATAGTCAAGAATACATACTGATAGTATGGTAATCCAAAGGAATGTTTATCTTTAAGAATTACATATAGTTGAGGACACTTATTAATTTGGATTATACTTTTAACAATATTGACAAAATTAATGCTTTTCTTCCAGCTCTCTCAAGCTTGTGTACATATTCTCAGTTAATCCACATCTGGGACCATTACAGGTGTCTTTATCACGTATGGTTATGGATATAATGAAGTTCTTCTTTTTATACGTTTTGGTACTATTCGCCTTTTCATGTGGTAAGTCTACGAAGCAAACGCATTTGTTATTATAATATAGTTTTGTTAATCAAGTCCCCAACATTATATTCTCTTGCTCATCTATGTTTCATTGTGACTACATTCGAATTCCTTATGACCCGATCGTATTTCAAAATTCAAATATTTTTAGGCCTGAATCAGCTTCTGTGGTACTACGCAGATGCGGAAAGACAAAAATGCCGACTGGACTCTGATGATCAGATGAGTCACAATCACACAGAACCTGATTCGAATGCTTGTACTATTTGGAGGCGATTTTCAAAGTAAGCCATCACACTCTCAATATATCCCCTAATATCGTTTATTTGTGTATTGTTTCATAATTCATACCCTGAAACTGTTGGATTCTGTTCAAGAAAGTGAAATTCGTCTCATGGGTGATGCCTCGCTTACAAACTCACTCACTTCTCTGGAATACCGTTGAAAAGTTGGCGATCTGGCTCTATTTTATAGATATTTTCATGGACGATGCTCTTCTGCAATATCAACAATTGTTCCTCCCTTAGCAGTCCCCGCGAGATTAACCTGTCGAGTTGAGGCTTCTCACCCCTTCGTGGTCACTTTGGAGACCTGCAGAACATCTCTTTCCAAAGACTCGTTCATCCTACGAACAGCTAGGCTCTGGAACACATTGCCAAAGGAGGTGTTCCCCGAGCCATATAACCTCCAGAAATTCAAAAAGAACACCAATTCCTAACTTATTTCCCTTGGTTCTCACGATGTTCTCTGAATATTACAGGATATCCCGTGGGAACCAGAACATAAAAAAATAAAAAATAAAAAATCGTTTGTTGAGTATGTGATAAGTACACTGTACACTCAAAGAGAAACGCCCTATCTAAGATAAGATGAAAGTGGGTAAATTGTTCTCCATCCACATGAGAAACGCTTTTTTCATCTTTTGAAGCACACGGAGGAAAATCTTGAAACCTTGAGACGATAGAAACAAACGGTAGGTATTAAACTTTTTTTTTTACTTTTGAAGATCTTGGAAATACTTCCCACGGCATAGTATTCCAAAACCTCACTATAGATAAACAAGTTCTGATGAACAGTTGTTCGAAATATCAACTGAGCTAGTTGAATTAGTCTGACAGGTATTGCTGGTGATGGAATGATAGCCAAGATTCCTGAAGAACATTCACTGTGGAAGTTTCTACAGAATAGTGGAAGGTCGCTGACTTCCCTACGGTATATCAAGCCGATACCTAATCACTGCATAATTTAAGATATATTGATATTATTGAATAGGAAGGACCAGGTTAGAAAAGGATCATCATCATTAACATTACAAAATTCTCTGTTGATGTTTTCATATTAATCTCACATAAAGGTAGATATAGCTATCTATTGTGTCATGTTGATGGATTCTTACACGAATTACCATGATAACTGAACCCATTCTACATAGTCCCTTATTGGCTGGCGCGATCGCCTGAATAGACACCACTGTGTTTTTTTGAGGGGGGGGGGGTGAAACGTCAAATACTTTGATAACGCAATTAATATCGATAATGAAGAAGAACTAAGGAATAGTGTTATCGAAACATTAAATCGTATTACCCCAGAAATGCTTAGAAATGTCTTAGAAGCAACTGTAAGAAGAAGATATTCTTTGTTTTGGAAATATTGGTTATAATTCAGAACATTCGTTAAGAATTACACTTTCTTCAATTGCTTTTCGTGTTATCAAAGTTGAATAATCAAGGTAATTCGTGTAAGAATTTGATAAATGAAAACGATTTTGCATATCTATTAGACAGAGCTGTCATTGCTTGAAATTTGACAGTCCATGGGCGATGAGTTTTTTTTTAAATAATAACACAATGGAATCATTGTGATATCAGATACGGGAATAAAATTGATGACATACAAAGTACCTCATTGATGTATCGAACACAGTAAAACAAGAGCAATCTTGTGTTATAGCCGTAGAGAAACAATACAGTTCCATCATGTCCGTTTTCTGAGCAGCAATTAATAAAACTCTGAGCAAAAAATGCGATCAGCTCCAAAAGAGTTTAGGACTGCCGGGAAAAATGAAAGTCGAGCCAAATAGAAGTTCAGTGTCCCATTGATTCGTCAGATTCCAGACTCCAGTGCATTGCAGAAAAGGAACATATCTAATTCGAATCAATTGTAGTACAATTTGGCGATATATTGATTGTCTTTATTACCCCAAGAAACATTTCTGTTTATGATAGGGATACATAAATACATATGAAAAAAATAATAATAAAGGGTTAACTATAATGAATTCCACTCAGTGGAAACGAATTAATATTGTGTCTTATAAGATTAAAGTTATATTTCATTCCTAAGTAATCAAATCATGCGTAGAGCATGTCTAATGGATATTTCATAGGCTTGTAACTCATTGCTTCATTCCTGGTTTTCCTGATGCAATACATGTAGTCCGCTCCAGAATAGTATAGATTTTCGATTTGACTCTGATGCAGTACAGTGGATTTGTAATAGGCCACTTTGTCTAGATACAATGTGTGGTACAGAACAATGTATGTTATTTGACGCACGTTTACAGCACATAGTGACCTGGAAAAACATTTCCGGGATATTCCATTAGATGGAAATGAAATGTCACACCGAGAGAAATATATTTATATTAGCTGTTATACGAAACTGTATTCAGTGTGTCCCACTCATCATGCTCACCATGGGTATCTTTTGAACGGTGAGAGATACGAGTTCGGTTAAATGACACCAAATGTGAAGTTTGTCAACTATAATGTGAAAAAATATTTCGATAAAATCTATTCGTTTTTGTTTTATACGCAAAAAACAGATTTCGATCATTTTCATGTCTCCTCCGTAACTTCTTTATTTATGAAAATATTCAAATAGGAATTTCACATCCACATGGCAGTTTTTCAAAGTGATTTCGAAAATAATATGAAATTCATACCAACTCTTCTAGAATTTGAGATATCAGCACCAACTTCAGTTTTTCAAATGTAGGTCATAGCTCACTAAGACTTAGTTACAAATAACTTCTCTCTCTCTCACAAATAATATGTCGCAGTAATAGTTTTGTGTTGATAACAACGGATTTATCCTCATTTATACAAAAACAATAAATTATTTGGAAGCCGCCATCTTGAATTTATAAATTTTAACGAAAAAATCATGATCTTCGACCTCAAAAGCCCTCACTTACCAATTTTGAATGGAATCGGACCAGATCTTGTCCGCCATCTTGGAGCAGCCATTTTTTTCAATTTCAACAAAAATTCCATAACCCCGATTAACTTGAAATTTGGCAGGTGTTAATGATTTCGGTGACGATGCATTATGGAATTTTTGTTGAAATTAAAAAAAATGGCTGCTCCAAGATGGCGGACAAGATTTGGTCTGATTCCATTCAAAATTGGTAAGTGGGGGTTTTTGAGGTCGGAGATCATGAGTTTTTTGTTAAAATTCATAAATTCAAGATGGCGGCGTCCAAATAATTCTTTGTTTTTTTATAAATGACGATAACTCCGTTATTATCAACACAAAACTATTACTGCGACATATCATCTGTAAGAGAAAAAAATATTATTCGTAATAAAGTCATACTGGGCTATGACCTACATTTGAAAAACTAAAGTTGGTGCTGATATCTCAAATTCTAGAAGAGTTGGCATAAATTTCATATTTTTTTCGAAATTACTTTGAGAAACTATATATACCATGAGAATGTGAAATTCCTATTTGAATATTTTCATGGATAAAGAAGTTACGGAGGAGACATGAAAATGATCAAAATCTGTTTTTTGCGTATAAAACAAAAACGAATAGATTTTATCAAAATATTTTTCCACATTATAGTTGACCTTGACAAACTCCACATTTGGTGTCATTCAACCGACCTCGTATCTCTCACTGTTAAAAAGATACCCATGGTGAGCATGGTAAGTGGGACACACTGTATAACCTTCTAAAGATTTCTGAATTGAATAAGCTACAGCATAGTTCCTTTTTTACTGTAATCAAGTCCATCATTTCAGAAATATCATATAACTGTGAAACAACACTTATATGAGAATAAAATGACGCTCATATATGATTAGCATTTCAATATTAAATATTGATATTATCAAAATGAAATAATACTCATATCAGTATAATTTGCTTTCAATTTGATAGTCAAATGATTGGCATTGGTGATTAATTTTTTTTTCCAGACAAATAAAGTGGGTTGAAGATCGTCGAGAAATATTGAAGACATATCTACTCAGTATATATAATTACCCCTAAGTAGAGTTTTTATTATTTATTTTATTATTATTATTGGGACTACAGGGCATTGAAGTGCATCACAAGGGAGAGATACTCAGTACAAAACATCTCAATTTGCCTACTGTAAAAATGCTCCCAATTTGAAGTATTCGTTCTTTATACCACTATCTTGGATTCTCAGTTGACATAGTTGCCAAAAATGTACACGGTGGCGTCAGTAAAAACGGGTTCACGAATCACAAAACGCGAACGAAAAACCTTTATTTCTTCTGATTAATTGTTGGCTTGAATTCTTGTGAATTTTGAAGCAGCAAATGAAATTATACGAATCAAATAAATACATATACAATCTATCACCGATATAACTGCGTGAATCCAAGATTTTGCCACAATAGAGTGTATAAGAACAAATGTGACACTTATATTCCTAGAAGAACTTCCAATCACTTCATTGATTCGAAAAAATAATCATCACCCTGTGAGAAGGGTTCACAAGCTGCTGCGGGCTCATATGCGTCTTTATATATCAGGTATCCGGAGACGACTAAAGTTTCTGATGGAACAAGTGCTCATAAGTGAGTGAGATGACTCATTGTGGTAAACGAGTATGACAAAGATGGTAGATGAAGGAGGGATGGAGCTCAAATGATAACTGTGAAATGACATCCTTCAGGGTTTAAATGATAATCTTTCGAATTTCATCTTTCAACTATAATCTTGTATTTTTTATATTTATGTTCTATTCCAGTCTCTTCGAAACTAGTCAAACACTCTTTTGGGCTGTTTTTGGTCTCATCGATTTGGAGAGCTTCGAACTCAATGAAATCAAGATATTCACTAGATTTTGGGGTATGTTCATGTTTGGAACATACTCCGTCATCAATATCGTCGTTCTTCTCAATCTGCTGATTGCCATGATGAATCATTCTTATCAGCTCATATCAGTGAGTATATTTTTCCTTAATAATTGATTTTTGAATTCGATATAGAATATGTCATCATGAGGACGTTTTTCTCTACGAAAAAAAAGTTATTTTTAGCCATCTAAAAGATTGTGAGAAACATTTTTATGTTAATACTGATACTGCATTGAAACAAGGTTTACACAATCTGTATTGTAACGTAACACAAAAAAAATGGGATTTTATCTCTTTATGAAGAACCGCTGGATGATATTGTATCGCCACTGCAAATTCTGGGTCAGATATAATCAGTCTAGTAGATGTCTAATCATTGTTTGAATGATCCTTGGAAATTTCATTGAAATCATCCAAAGCGATTTTGTGCTATCAATTAAAAACTCTTTTCTCATCTTATTACCACCTCGTATTTTGGTAATGGAGCATTGAATCGTGAATCGAACAGCTTTTCTATTTTACTGGCTTCTTAAAATAACTCGATAATTATGATTTAAAATTCCTGCCAGAAACCACAAAGATCTTATACTTCTTTGTTGATGATGTTGTATTTTCCCAGGTCTGATATCTTAATGGAGAACATTTTAAAACTGTGGTTGTTCAAATTCGTTGCTTATGAATACCGATTTTATCTTAAGAATATCGATATTATTTTCATTTTGTGCTCCTGGATATGAGGTGGAATATAAATACCACTAAAAGATGTCTAATAAATAGCTGAACATTGGAATTACGGCTTCTTGATGCTCTTTCTGATCAGAAAGACATTTTCAAACTCAGTTGTAAAATGTGGAATTCATGAGGATGCTCCGGTCTTACTGCTGTATACGAACCTTTCCTCAATTTGTTTCCTGATATCTTGGAAACTATCATGACTCTCAGGTTGAGCATCCGTGAGCCTAGCTGATGTGAAATGCTATTTTCATACGAACGTTGAAAAAAAGGCAAGCTTCGCGCATTGAAATAGTGTGCGAAATACATATTTCGAGCACTGCATGTAAGCTTCATGTGATTTCAACCTTCATGGTCCTCAATCAAGCAAAATTCCAAGAAATCATTTATTTCTAAATTTTTAACAATCAGTAAGGCTTAGTACATCAAGTATCTACTCACTTTCTAGGACGGAAGTAATACGGCCGGAGTGACGTCAAAAACTGAAACTCGCGTAAAAGTATTCAGTGAACACCGAGACCGACAGAGACAGTGTAGTCGTCAGCTCTGACCTGACATGCTTCGAAGTCACAGATAGTTTAATCATATTGTGTCCGTGCTAGAGTTACAAAAAATGCCTCTACATCATTCACATCATTTATAATACACAGGGAGAGTATTAAATAGTCATGACAATTTGAAATTGCCAAAAGATATCGGAAATACTGAAATACTGACCTGCTATAGAAGTTATCACTTCCGACGTTATGAAAGTATATTTACATTTATCTAAGCATTTTACTTATTCCAGAACAATATATTTTGACGTTTGTAGAATGAAATCCTGTCCGCAACTCGTGCACGAAATACGTTGTTAATCTCGACTTTTTTTTCAACTCGGCTGCGCGTTGTTGAGAAGGTTAGTTCTTGATCACCAAAGTAGCATGTCGAGCACTATGGATACAAAAATATCAATTGTTATCACTCCTATGTCAAGAGGTGATATGAAGAAAAACTAAACTGAAAAATATATTTTTGTTGAATACTTTGCCAATTCCCGATGGGAACTGAAAATGAACTGAGGAATTTGGAAACGAAGTTCGTCGAGCTCACTCTGTATTATCGTTCCATAATCATGAACCTATCATATTTTTTCAGGAACGTGCTGATACTGAATGGAAGTTTGCACGCAGCAAGCTTTGGATCAGCTATTTCGAAGAGGGTGGTACCGTCCCAGTACCATTCAATGTCATTCCTACTCCGAAAAGCCTCTGGTACATTATCGAGTGGGTCAGAAGGAAATTCTGCGGTCATTCGAGGGCTGCCAAAAAAGAACACATGAGGACAATCAGGGTGAGATACAAAATTCAATCAGACTCGTCGTCACCCTATCCCATATCCCAAAACATCACTTTTGGGAAATTGGATTTTGAGATTTTATGATGAACTGATTACATCTTCATAAGTTTTCCTTGCCTTTCCACCTCTATGAATGTCGCCTACATATTTAGCATGATTATTTGCTATGCAGCATTGGAAAATGTTAAATATATTTTGATTCATCTGAGATTTTCATTATGGATATACTTAGAACAATAATCGCAACTTTCGTAAATGTTACAAAGAATAGTGGATATTGCACATCTGGGTAGTGAATAATTGTTCAACATCCATTGATTTCCGCGATATTTGTTGTAATATAACTTCTTTCGACCATGCAAAATACACAAAAATTCTCATAAAAGGTCAGGAGAATATATTGAAAAGAATAAAACAATCGAGAAAATAAGGAAATATAATATTATACATGAAATCATGGAGATATTAACAGATTTGAATAGTTCAAATCATTTCATTCTTCAATTTCTTCAGTCCAGTCATCTTCTCCCATGAAAATGCTTCCTCTGTGGTGCTGTACTTGCGGCTTTGGTGGTACTCAAAGTCTGGGTTTGTATTTTGTTTGTCGCAAGTATTGTGTCATGAAATATTTTTCCTCTATCATTGGGAATGAAAGGTTTCATTTCTGTAAGGTGTTTTCTCTTCATATCGGAATTTGCAATCTTTTGTTCGGCAAGAGGCACATCATTGCAGAAGTTGTAATGGAATTATTTTTTGAGGGCGATATATATCGATATGTATCGATATGTATCGATATGTATCGATATGTATCGATATGTATCGATATGTATCGATATGTATCGATATGTATCTTCCTATCGCTCTTCGGATATACTGATTTAGCCTAGGAAAAACTAGTTTATCCTGAAATCGGGTTTGTCCGGTAACATATATATAAGCGATGGCGGAAGGCCCATTTAAAGAATTCTCAAGAAATTGGTAGATTTATATCGATAACTCAATTCGTTCCCCGTTATCCGACCTGCCACCTTTTGAAACACTGATTTTCTCAAAATGAAAATCATGAATAAGTCTTTTTGATTTTTTATTGCGAAATATGATGTGAATAAAACATACGGCTATCATACAGGGTGATTCATTGGGAAATGCGCATAGAGTATAAGGGTAGACGGAGGACACCGAGGTGCTTCTAAATAATATATATTCCATGGGTCTATCATTCTTCGTAGCTGAGATACAGGGTGATTTATCAATTTTCTAATTTTTTTCAATTAATCATAACTTTTGTGATATTTGGTGGACATGTTCATTGTCCACAGATGTGACGATTGACATAATAAGATAAAGTTTCATCTCAGGTCCGGCCTTAAAAAAATTGATAAGTAGGTTTCGAGTCGAAACAACACCCTGTATATCAATATTTTGGACTTTCATTCACAAATTCGAAAAGAGCAGGAAAAAATAAGTCAGGCTGAATGTATTTTGTGTTTCCGCATACAACTTTTATACCTATTAACTTGAGTCAAATCTAGATGTTTCGATAATGAGGTGGCACAAAATTTTAAAAAAATTACTTGTCGTCCCCAAATGGTACTCTTCCATTTTCAAACCATGAAATCATTAATAACTATTTCTTACTCTCTCAATTTTTGGATCCCAACCTAATTGGGAAACGTGAGGACAGGTCCGTATTTGTGACAAATTATTATTATCAATGACTAACTATGTATAAACACCTTGTATGTGCAAGAAAATTGTCATAACATTTGTTTATTGCCCTACATTTGAAACAGCAATTATCATGGAAATAAAGAAGAATGCCCATTCCGGAAAAAGCATAATTTATTTCGAACAAAAATGTCGTTGCAACAAATTGTATCGAGTTAAACAAATACAATAAGATACAAAAAAAATTGAACAACGTAACTAATAACAGTTGTTCGAAGTGGCCTCCATTTTGTTCAATACATTTCCGTGCTCTTGAAGTTAGATTTGAAATTGACTTCCTTATCATAGCTGGCTCATTTCTCAGCACGTCGCATGCGACCTCAATTCTCCTTAGGAGGTCCTCTCTAGTATTAACCTCAGGTGAATAAACTTTCGATTTTAAATAACCCCAAACATGGTAATCGAGTGGATTAGAATCTGGGCACCTTGCAGGCCAATGATTCGGGAAGGTGTTATTTGAGAACTCTCTTACTATCACCCTCGGCCAGGAAATCGCCGTACATATTCTCTTTGGGCAGCTTTTCCATTACCATCACTGTATCCATAGACATACAACATGTCTGCATATTCATTATTATTAAATTTATGTGGCATTTTGAGTAAGTGATAACTATTTATTAACGAATAACGTAACAACACAATACACAGGTACAAACTCTTAAGTCATCAACTAACGTCAAAATTGTACTCTGACATCAGCCAACTTGGAAATTACAACAATCCTAGTTTTCTGATTTTCTGTTATGTTCAACGTTATTTCTGTTGAAAACAAAGTTATGACTCTTTTCGGAATGGGCACTGTTCCTTATTTTCAAAATAATAAAATAAAAAAATGAATGTTATGACAATTTTTTTGCACATACAAGGTGTTTATACATAGTTAGTCATTGATAATAATAATTTGTTTCAAATAGAGACCTATCCTGTCGTTTTCCAATTAGGTTGGGATACAAAAATTAGGAGAGTAAGAAATAGTTGATGATTTCATGGTTTGAAAATGGAAAAGTACCATTTTGGAACGACAAGTAATTTTTTTTAAATTTTGTACCACCTCATTATCGAAACATCTAGATTTGACTCAAGTTAATAGGTATAAAAGTTGTATGCGGAAACACATAATACATTCAGCCTGACTCATTTTTTCCTGCTCTTTTCAAATTTGTGAATGAAAGTCCAAAATATTGATATACAGGGTGTTGTTTCGACTCGAAACCTACTTATCAATTTTTTTAAGGCCGGACCTGGAATGATACTTCATCTTATTATGTCAATCGTTACATCTGTGGACAAAGAACATGTCCACCAAATATCACAAAAATGTATAGGGTGGTTCATAAGTTATGATTAATTGAAAAAAATTAGAAAATTGATAAATCACCCTGTATCTCAGCTACGAAGAATGAAAGACCCATGAAATATGTATTATTTAGAAGCACCTCGGTGTCCTCCATCTACCCTTACTCTATGCGCATTTCCCAATGAATCACCCTGTATAGTGAAATTAGTTTTTTGTATACTGAATATAATTAATGTGTGACAGTCAAGAGAGTATATTAACATTGTTTCATATGAATCCCAACAGTATTGACACGAGTTGAAAAGGGAAAATTGGTTGAGTATTTCCATTTATTCTATTGGAATTTTCTATTTGTTGATATCTGGAACTGAGGAATTGGGTTTTGTTGTAATATGTATAATCCTGAACTAATCTGATCGTAATTGCATCCCATCTTCCAATCGATTCCATTCATTGGGTTGAATTAAACCATTAATTTGAAAACATTTCGAACTATTACAGGATTCAGAGTCACATTAAATCTCTATGGATTTTGAACCCAATACCACCATTATCCAAATAAATTGTGCCATATAAATCCCAACTAATTAAATCAATAATTGAACTGATGAATGGATTCAATGAAAATTATTCACTACAGAAATACATTTCCGATAATGTATTATTTAATCAATCAATTCAACAAATTCCAGCGTACAGAGTAACCCAAAAGTATATTGAGACCTCACTGAAGCAGGAATGATTATAGAGATATAGGATGTTCATAATCGAGATTTTTCAATCTTAGAAATTTTTTGTGTCGAAACTATTCATTATCGATCAAAACGGCTTACATGTCCCTATCTCAACTTTCGATTCACTATCTACCTGAATTTAATAGGAAAAAATACAGGGTGCTTCAAATTCAGAATTAAGATCACCCTGTACCTGTTTCAATTGAATGTCAGTAGATAATGAATCAAAAGTTAAGATAGGGATATGTTAGCCGTTTTGATCGATAATAAATAGTTTCGACACAAAAAAGTCCTGAAATTGAAAAATCTCGATTTTGAACACCCTATATCTCTGTAATCATTTCTGCTAGCCCCCAAGAGTGATGCATTGATGAAATCAGCTCTCAGGAAGAATCTAAAAATGTAATAAATACAGGGTGCTCCATTCAAGATAACGAAGTTGCTAGTTGTTTCTGATAGAAGTGACAACACTGTATCGATGAAAATATTTCAGACGGATAGAGAATGTTCAATTATCAAAGCATATCAATTTTCAGAATGTTCCGTCTTTTTGCTCTCCAGATACTTCTAATAGGCCATAGACCGTGGATCACCCTGTATTAAGGTCCATCTCATGTTAAAATTCTAATTCTGAAAATACATACATTTTAATTCCTTCAAATCAAACATTTGGAACAATGTGTGGTCAAAAGAATTCCCAGGAATGAATTCAATTTCTGATTTTATTCATTAGTAACTTCATACATTCAGAAAATTTATCTGTACCTTATATTCGTGCCTAGTTAGCTCTCTTCCCAAACTATGGCATTTCAACATTATGCGAATTTTCAAAAGAACTTATTGCTAAATACTGTCGAGGTTAATCGAGAAGGTGGTATATTCATTTTACTTGATTTTTTGGGATTTTCTCTTAGCGTTTCTATAAAATGAAAGTATTCGTATTATTTCAATATATTTGTAGTGGGACAGATGATTTGCCCCAAAACGTCAGTGAAAACTGTCAAACTATAAGCAGCACAACTTACTTCCGAAGAGAAATATTTTGCATTTTTATGTTGAGAACGGAAGCAGATTCGGCTCCGAAACATCCAAAGATTAGTCAAGATTCGATATTTTCTCAATATATCTATATTTCTTTCCTTCAAACATTTTTTCAAACAAATTGTCATTGACAAGCTTCTGGATTCTTCTTCTAGGCTCCCTGATAGAAAAATCTGTTAAACGCAGTGACATTTTGGGGCAAATCATCTGATTTGTCCCACTACAAATATATTGAAATAATACGAATTCTTTTATTTTATAGAAACGAGGAGAAAAAATCCCAAAAAATCAAGTAAAATGAACTTATTGCTATTCAACTCAATTTTTTCCTGTTGGAAAGGACGAGGAGAGAAAGTTTAAAAAAATCTGGAATACCTAATGAATGTTTCATTGAGTTTTCATACTTCTGAATCCCTTATTATGAAACCTAGCTCTTGAATTTCAGAGGAAGGTGAAGCAAGCGAGTGAACGGGACTTCAGGTATCAGGTGAGTTGTTCAATCGTAGCGAGTGCATGTCAAAAGGCGTCAAATAGCGACTTCGCCATAATTACAAAAATAACGTAGAAAAAAATGTTTCCCCCAAAACTAACTAACACGACAAACATTGAATTATATCTATTGAACACACACGATAAGAATTTGGAAACGAAATTATCTGAAGTTGATGATAATATCATTCGGAATATTCAACAGAAAACAAGAAATTTCCTGGCGATTTGCCACGTCGAACATTGAATTATATCTGTTGAACATCCAAAAGGAGAGTTTGGCGAATAAGAATCCTCTGAAATAGAGAATTGACAGGGATTGAATGTCAACATATAATTCTCAGATTCAGCTCGTTATAGCTTCAGTTATATCATAGAGAGATATAAATTGTGTGTATCATAAAGAATAACTGGACTTCCGGTTACTGGGGAGGGTTTGAAATCTGAAATGAGTTCTTTCGAATAAAGTCATATAACCTGTTTGTGAGAGATATAATTCCCATATCACTGATACGAATGATTTTTTTGGAAGTTTCAAGCTCATCAAGTTCAGAGTTTATACAGGTATCCGTGTCCTATACATTTCATTCAATTTCCATTTCAATACTGAACAAGGGTAAGTTAAATTTTAATTGCTAAATCTCATAACTAAGAGATAGGATGAACAGAGTTGCCCCAATTGTCAGCAGGAGCGAGACAGTACTGTTTCGACCCACCAGGTCTCATCAGCCGCTCTCGGTCTGCTGACAACTGGGACAACTCTACGCTTCGGATATATCACCCATTTCGAAGACGCAGGGTATAACATGAAGTTGTAGTCATGTTGTAGCCATCTTGTGGCAAAGCTCTGAGGTAGGATACAGAGATATCGCGACATACACTGTATGGCGCTGCCATCTATAGTCACACGTACAGACCCCTACGTCTATGCGCTACAGAGTGGTACTACAAGTAAATCACTCTGCTGACAGATGGCACTACCTGACATACTTGAGTGGAATTTTTCCACCACCTATTCAACTGCTGAATCTCATAACTAAGAGATCTAGGATGAACAGAGTTGCCCCAATCGTCAGCAGGAGCGACAGTTTATATGTACTACATTTTAACATGTCTATTGTATCTGACCTGCCAAAATCATAACATTTGTAACTTGGTGAAATGAATATTCTATTCTATTCTATTCTATTCTACATAATATACTATAAAATACACCACTGACTTCCATTAGCTATTATAAGCAGTTTTCATTTTTTTCCATCTTATACAGGGTCTGGGAAGTTATAACATCTCCAAAAGTGAACATTTTTGTTGTCGCCTTGTATTTCAGGGACAAAAGTAGTTGGAATATTTCTGTTTGGGGCTTTGGACATTTTACAGAAAAGTGATACAGGGTCGCGGAAACCGGATAGCAAAAATAGCTGAGATACAGTGCAGTCTCAATCAAAATGGGACACAGTGTACGTCTTTAGGACGTCTGGTGCCGTTTCTGCAGAGGTAGGTATAGTGATTGCAAAATGTCGCGAGTAAGCACTAGGGAAATTGAATAGGATAATCGAGCCGATCCTACTCGAAGCGAGCCAACTGCCAAACCGAAAAAAATTCCGTCCCTAATGGCATTACTTCCACGAAACGAAACCACTCAGGATCCATCGGTAATAATGTTATGCATGTCCCAACAGGGGATTATGCGGAATCTGGTACGGCGTTACGTCACAGTGGAACAGAGGAAAGCGGAAAATCAAGGCGTCACCGAAGACGACGTCAACGAAATAAAACAGGACATTTCTGCCTTTCGATTCGAGCTGATCGAGATTTTGAAGAATTCGGGGATGAACACTTCGTCAGCGCAAGGGGTTATGGGTAAGTGAGCAAAGCGACACTAGTTATTTACTTAACAAGTGGGGAAGGTAGTAGTGTTCCGTACGCGACGGCCGTTGCACGAACGACGCGAAGCGGAGTTCGGGCAAGTCGTCAAGGGCGAAAAAGGCATTTTCTGCAAGAGTTAGGTACGTTTTTCCCACGAGTGTTTTTGTCCATATTATTCATAAAAAAAAAAGGTTTTTAGTGAACAATATTTCATAATGATAGATAGATAGATCTTTATTGAAATAGGATATCCTAGTGTACAAACAAGCTAGAAAGTATAAAGTAAAATAGGTATGTGGTACATATTAAAATGATTTAAAATAAACTACTTACCAGATGAAGTGGGACAGCCAAAAAATTTACTAATTTTGATCAGCTATAACTCGAATAATTCTGTTGGATTTTCAACCAAAGGAAGAAAGCGTCATCTTTGGGCTATGCGTCATCGGCGTCGACTCTTTATTTTTGCAATTCGTTCTCTTTGTACAGAGTGTGAATTAAGAGCCGGAAAAATTTCAAATTTTTTACCAATAATTTGGGAATTGTGAGGGACCCTAGAATTCTTCTTCAGATGTTGGGTGAATGGTTGGTCCGATACCTCGGGACGACTTTGAAATTTTTTTGATAAATTGCGTTGCTATGGAAAAATCGTCATTTTATGAAATTCCATTTTAATTTTAAAATGTGGCCTTTCTTAGTTGAACAATAACAGCTAACATCTGAACTGCGATAAGGAATATTCCTACTGAAGATAATTCACACCAGTGGCGCGCAAAAAGGGGTTTATGATATTTAGAAACGAAAAATTCGATTTTATTAGAAAAATTCAACAGTTTTATTGATCGTTACAGTTGAAGAGGTGTCATACCCTCAATTAGCATGATGTTAGCTGTTATTGTTCAACTAAGAAAGGCCACATTTCAAAATAAAAATGGAATTTCATAAAATGGCGATTTTTCCATAGCAACGCAATTTATCAAAAAAATTTCAAAGATATCCCGAGGTATCGGACCAACCATTCACCCAACATTTGAAAAATAATTCTAGGGTCCCTCACAATTCCCAAATTATTGGTCAAAAATTTGAAATTTTTCCGGCTTTTAATCCACACTCTGTACAAAGAGAACGAAAAGCAAAAATGAAAACCCGACGCCAATGACGCATAGCACAAGGATGACGCTTTCTACCTTTGGTTGAAAATCCAACATCGGCCAAGAAATGTACGAGTTAAAGCTTATCAAAATTAGTCAATATTTTGGTTGTCCCACTTCATCTGGTAAGTAGTTTATATGGAAAACATTGGAAGAATACATTATAAAGTTAGTTGAACACAAGCATAATATCTCAGAACAAACATTGTAGCTACTCGTAACAAACATAATAAATATCATATATGAATGTACATTAGACAGAAATTTCTTCAGTTCGTTTTTGAAAATGTTCAAAGATGGGCTATTTTTAATTGCATTTGGTAATCTGTTGAATTGATCAAAACCCTTGAAAAATAAAGAGATCATAGTGCTTTCGTGATTTGTTCTATTTATATATAAATCATTATTATTTCGAGTGAAGTGGTGGTGAATATCATAATGGAAGATAATGTACTGTTTGAAATAAGATGGTCCTAAATTGTTTAATATTTTATATATGAATGTCATTGTGAAATAAAACAGTCTTTGAGAAACAAACTGCCAATTCGAAACATAAGGCATAATAGTAATTAGAGCATCTCTACCGCACTTCAAAATGATCCTCATACTACGATTCTAGAGTTTTTGGAGTTGAGACAATTTATTCTGATTGAATAGATATAGGATAGATGAACAGTAGTCAGAGTGTGGTTGAACAATCGACTTGTAAACTGGGATTCTTGACCCTGTTGAAAGATTATTGGAAATTCTGGAGAAAAAGAATAATTTCTTTGAAATTTTCTTATGAATATACTCAATGATGCTACAAAATGACGACACATTAGACAGAATAGTGACATGGATCATTCATTAGTTAGTCCTGAATATCCTTATTTTTAATAATAAATAAATCGTGCGAAAAGTACCATTTCAGCACTAGTGCGGTAAAGTAACCTCTCCTCACGATATTTTCATGCACTGAAAAATAATGGAATAGATTTTTTTTTCATCGATATAATAGGAAACCTATTTGAAGAACATTTAAGTTACAATAACTGAAACATTAACGATGGTAAATATTGAAATTGAAATTGCAATTTGTGTTTGTTGCATGCTGTGATATAGCAGATGCCGGAACATCTTGAAGAACGTCTTTTCTTATTAAAATTCAATTGGTTAGTGTTTGGCCCACTACAGAAATGCCTTGATCAGTTTGTTGCTGAGAATTACTAGTGTAGTGAATGGAGGAAGGTAGATTGGTCTGAAATGCTTATTTGTTGAATGCCACTACTGTCAGTTTATAGCTTCTGTTGCAATGGTACGTTCTGGTGCCAACAGTTATCACCACATGTCTCCTGGTATTTCCTTCGAAATCGTGCGGAAAAGTGAAAATAATGCGGAAAATTAAAATCGTACGGAAAAGTTAGTTACTTTTCTGCACGCTCGTAGGAAAAGATAATTTCAAGACTCAGAGATTCTAGGGAAATTTCGTGAATTGACTGTCAGCTGATGCCAGAACAGACTGTTTCGGCTTGCCAAGTCTCATCAGTTGCACTAGGTCAGGTCAGAGTCACTGGATGGTATTAGTTGGATAAGAGTTCGGACACAGAAATGACAACTGACTCGTGGTTTTGAATGTTTAGATTCATTAACTTACACACCTTGCATTATGACAAGAGCACCATAGTCGTTCCGCGCTTTTTCATTCGAAATTATTTGAATTGGACAATGAATAATATGAACGTCAGAATTGAAATATAATTTCATGGAAAAGAATGCATAATGAAAATGTCCTGCTGTGTAATAAATTGTAGGAATTCTGGAGACAATGGATTTCATTTCTTCAATGTCCCAAAAGAAATATCAACCATTCCCTTATAGAAGGAATGTATATGAAACGGCCTGAAAGGAAAAATAATTTGGAGACAAGCAAAATTTGTGAGGTACATGCATTAAAATGCACTCCTCTTAACAGCATATTGAAATGAAACTATATTTCAGGCCCATTCTTAACCAGAAGATTTTACGATCAGTTCGGGAGAATCTGCTGTTCCATTAATTCACAAAACATACTATCCAATATTATCATCACACAAAATTATCATTGAGAAAGAGAAACTGATTGCAAAACTACGTAATGATATTGAAAATTTTATAACGAAACTGAGGAAATCAAGTGAATTGCAACGTGATATAATATCATTGAATGGCGTTTTCAATACCGACCAAATTTCAAATGAATCAGTAAAAAGTGAATGCAGCAAATGGTGGAGAATCAAAACAATCTTCATGTTTTAAACCTAATCACTCGGGTACAGTTTCACATACGATAAAGAACAATATAGCTTCAAGTATATCTATATGTTTTCATTTTGTCATATTAAAATGTTGTTACATACATTCTTTTCATGTTTATAACTGTTGTTCTGCTAGTCTAAGATCCGAACCTAAGTCGACCTTCACCGAGCTGATAATAGAACGAAATATATTTTATCATGAATTTAGTATATTAGAAAACATATTAAAAATGGGTTGCCTAAAAAAATCCTGGGCAGACTATTTTTAATTATTTTTCGAAAAATTATTTTTAATTAAATGTTGCAACATCAGGATAATACAAAAATTGTGTCCTGACTGAAAGTATGAAACGTATAGAATGTGCAGCCGTTGGGGTGTCTACTATTTACCTGGGCGAACTACTGGGTTGTCAGGTAAACACAGGTATATCGATGCCAGTTACTTTCACTGGATTGGATAATTTAAAAAAATGTATATCATCATAAGCGCTGTTTAATTGCGAACACGTTGATATAGGGTTGTCTGCGAAAATTCCGGTCCGATTAGGGGTTTTTAATTTCAACGCGCGTGGAAGTGTGTGACAGAGAGATCCGAGGTAAGTATACTGTGTGATAATAAAGGACCCAACATCGCAGTCGCTTGTGATGGGACCCTGAATAGTAGAAAGTGCGCATGCTCGGTGTGTAAACTATGGAGGGTAGAGGTACCTCTACTACCCTTCATATAGTAAACAGTGCGTGTTATTTTGGAGCAACTGATATTTCAGTAGCAAAAAAAAATAATTAATTAATTACATAATAATTAAATATATTTAATATAATACTAATATATAAAAACAATATAATATCAATATATTGCGTTATAACCATAATAATATATCTATAATCTATAATAGACAATAAAAATATCAATTACTTACTTTGACATTTTTTTGCTCTTTCTGGAAATAGAAACAAAGTGGACCGCCAAAAATTTAAATTAAGAAATAACAAAAAAGATAGACTAGACATCTTGTATTACGATTTGAAATTTTATTAAAAAACAGTATAAATACAAAAATAATATTAATGAAAAATAAATTCTAATAAATATTTTCTATTCAATATCTGATTCATCAGAAGTATCATTTTGACTCTCGAATTCGTCTGATTCATTAGATTCTTCCTCATTTGCTTCCATTTCGACAATGTCCTGGATTTTCAAAGGAGTTTGATCTCCGATAAAACCTGTTGGTTTTAAGAAATCATCAAAATGCCAACCATAGTTTTCAGGATTTGACTTCGCACACTTTCTACTATTCAGGGTCCCATCACAAGCGACTGCGATGTTGGGTCCTTTATTATCACACAGTATACTTACCTCGGATCTCTCTGTCACACACTTCCACGCGCGTTGAAATTAAAAACCCCTAATCGGACCGGAATTTTCGCAGACAACCCTATATCAACGTGTTCGCAATTAAACAGCGCTTATGATGATATACATTTTTTTAAATTATCCAATCCAGTGAAAGTAACTGGCATCGATATACCTGTGTTCACCTGACAACCCAGTAGTTCGCCCAGG